GCGTGCGCCCTCGTCTCTCCGCGTCTCGTCGGGAGCGCGTGCGTGCGGTGGCTCCACCTCGGGTTGACTCAGGAGGGCCCCAGAAGTGCTGAGTCCAGCTGCAGTCATCGGAAGTGGGGCGTGAGGAGGAAGGGTCTGCGGGCTGTGGGCTGGAGAACCGGCTCCCCCCACAGGTAGAGCCACTCCCAACGTGGCGACTGCTTCCCTGGAACAAGGCCAGCAACGGAGATGAAGCCGTGGCGTCTTCCGCTGCCCACTCAGAAGGGATGTCTGCAGCTTCATCCTATTCCGGGGTACCCCGGGTGGAACGGGGCTGCATGCCGTGGCCACCCAGAGGCAGGGGTTGCTGGGGGCCTTCGTGCAGGCTGGCCTCCATGGCAGCTTCGTTCATTTCTTCTTTTAAATGGCCTTCAGAGATTAAATGTTTAACAAGAGCTAGGCTTTGCATTCAGCCGGTGCACCGACATGCAGGGAGCCCGCCCCTCTGCACATTGACCCAGCCACGGGGCAGAAGCTGGGTTCCCGCACTGCCCGTGGCGAGGGTCGCTGTTTCTCCACATCTCCATCCTGCCCTCATCTGTGGACTGGGGACACACGGCTCCCTTTCTCCTGGATGTTTTTGACTCATCAGGAGGCTCCCGGGCTTTGCGCCTTTGCTTCACATGTGGCGGCCTTGCTGATGTCGGCGCCTCCACGGTGCTAAGGGTGCAGCCTCTGGTCCTCAGTGAGTTTTTTGTCAATTGGACAACAGATTTATAGGCACCAAACGGGCCCTACAGCTGAGTGTGGCATTGCAGGGGCCCGTGCCTCCCTGCTCCGGGGACACATGCTCCCCACAGGTGAGCTGCTGCTGGGCCAGGGATTCCAGCTGCTGGGCACCAGGATCGCCAGGAATGTCTTAAAACTCCAGCTTTGGCCGGGTGCGGTGGCTCAAGCCTGTAATCCCAGCACTTTGGGAGGCCGAGGCGGGTGGATCACGAGGTCAAGAGATCGTGACCATCCTGGTCAACATGGTGAAACCCCGTCTCTACTAAAAATACAAAAAATTAGCTGGGCATGGTGGCGCGTGCCTGTAATCCCAGCTACTCAGGAGGCTGAGGCAGGAGAATTGCCTGAACCCAGGAGGTGGAGGTTGTGGTGAGCCGAGATCGCGCCATTGCACTCCAGCCTGGGTAACATGAGTGAAACTCTGTCTCAAAAAAAAAAAAAAAAAACTCCAGCTTTCCAGACCCTACCTAAATGATGCAGAAGGTCATTTACGGGGCACTCCAGAGCACCCCAGCAGCACTCCAGGGATCCAGACTGGATCTGAGCCACACCTCACCCCTCACCTGGCAGCCCTCCTGGGACCCCTGATGTATGTGCCCACTGCTGGCCTTGATCCAGCTCAGCTGGGAGACTGAGGCCCAGAGGTTGTGGAGTACTTGTCCAAGATCACAGCAAGTGGGCAGGGACGCCTGGAGCCAGGAGGACCAACTCCCTGCCCAGTGCTCTCTCTTGAGCACCCTTGGCCAGGGGTGACCTGAGGCCTGTTGTCCCCACCTCCAGCCCCCTCCTCTGTCAGGGCACTCAGAACAACATCCCCTCGAGGGGTGCCAGAGGAGACTCCAGGAGACACTGGAACACCCAAACCTGACACCCCCAGCCAAGGGCTCTCCCTAGACCCATCCGCTGTCCCATGCCCCCTGCCAGCCCTGGGCAGTGGCTGCACTGCATGGAGCCACCCTCGTCTGTTCTCCACTGGGTGCGTGTTGTGGCCCAGAGCCAGGGCCCCACTGACTGAGAAGCAGTGTTCAGGAAGCTCCTGGCTGTTCCCAGCACCCTGCTCCTTACAACTCTGAAACACCTGTAATCCCAGCACTCTGAGAGGAGGAGGTGGGCAGATTTCTTGAACCCAGGAGTTCAAGACCAGCCTGGGCAACATAGCAAGAGCTGGACCCCCAAAAATACAAAAAAATTAGCCGGGTGTGGTGGCTGATGCCTGTAGTTCCAGCTACTTGGGAGGTTGAGGCGGGAGGATCGCTTGAGCCCAGGAGGCAGAAGTTGCAGTGAGCTGAGATTACTGCACCACTGCATTCCAGCCGGGGCAACAGAGCCAGATCCTGTGAAAGAAAGGAAAAAAGGAAAGGAAGAAAGAAAGGAAGGGAGGGAGGAAGGGAGAAGACACAAAAGAGAGGCAGAGAAAGAGAAAAAAGGACGGAAAGAAAGGAAGAAAAAGAGAAAGGGAAGAAAGAGAAGGAAGTGTGAAATGCCAGCTGCACGCCGGTGAGTGTCTGAGACCATATTGGTTCCCCAGCACAGAGGCCCCTCCCATGTGGAACCTCCATCCTCCCTCACTGCAACCCCGGGAGAGTGAGGTCCCCATGCGCCCCATGCTGCAGATGAGAAACCAGAGGTTAAGAGGGACCAAGAACATGGCCCTGGTGTTTCAGCAGAGCCGAGATGAGGGTTCGGGTCTTCGTACCGGGCTCTGAGGGCACAGGCGGCTCTCACGGGTGGCTGAACAAGCAGCACAAGAGAGGGGTGGACTAGGAACGGGAATCTTTATTTAGCAAACACATGTTCGGCTTCAGCTCTGCGGCAGGGTCCTCAGAAGTGGAGGAAACTGGAGGGGGCTGGCTACAGAGCAGGCCCTGGGGGAAAAGCCACGGGCCTGGGGCTGGGCCATTGCTAGTTCCCTTCCCGGTCCTGCTCACCCCGATGGCCAATACCACCCCTCTCAATTTTACATCTTCTTGAGCGTCCTTCCCCATGGGCCCCAGTCAGCCGTAAGAGTCTCTCTTCCATCCACCAGCTTGCCCGCTGCCCTCCATGCTCTGCCCGGACAAACCCTGGGAGTGAGGTGGGGACCCCTGACAAGCTTGTCCCTGACTGCACCCTCCTCTGTCCCAGGGAACCTGAAGCCTCCCCTCCCTGCCCCTGCCTGCTGGGCCATCTTACAGCTGCAGAGCCCTGCCCCCAAAGTCTCTGTGGGCTTGGGCCCAGCCCTCGTCAGCCCCACAGCCTCGGTGATGATCCATCCTCCTGGCTGCCATCAGGAGCTGCGGACGAGCCACACCCTGTGCCAATGATGCCCAGCACCCATTAAGGGATACTCTGCAGCACCCAGAGCCCCCAAGGGCGGAATCCATTTCTGTGTCCCTCCCGCCAGCACCCAGGCCACCGTGGAGGAAAGGTGTGCTGTGGGTGACACCCAAGTGCCCTCATGAAGTAGCCGCACTCCACCGAGGTCTGGCTGGTGGCCACCCCGGTGGCATTCTCCTCTGTTGCAGCAGCCTTTGAGAGTGGGTACTGACCACCCTGCCTGGAGGCCTCCTGACCACTGCTACTCCCACACCCCTGCTCTCCGGCCTTGCGGGGGTCCACGACCAGGCCGGGGCAGTCAGCTAGAGGACAGGGGCCCCATGGAGAGCCTTCCTTTGAGGGAGCTGGGCCTCTGGAGCACCTTGGGGGTGTGAGCACCTGGCCTGGTGGGCGTAGGTGTGTGACCAGCAGGGACAGTCTGGCAGGAAGGCCTCCTGCCCATGGAATCTGTCCTGCCCATGGAATCTGTGGGGGGTGAAGGGGTGTGGCCCAAGGTCAGCAGGAGAAATGGGTAGGACCAGGGACTGGGCCCACCTCAGGCTTATGTGGAAGGTGGATGTGGCTGAGGCCATCGGCACCAGAGAAACTGAGGGACAGGACGGCCAGGTAACTGGTGGCACTGGGGAAGGACAAGTGGGAAACAGATAGCATCACAGGTCCCGGGGGCTGGCCCAGCAGAGGTGTCCTGGGCTGGGGTGGGTTGTCACCTAACTTCAGGGCCAAGGGGCTTTCTGGACGCAGTGGTGAGGAGTCTGAGTCCTGGCTTAGAGGAGAAGTAGGTGACAGAACAGTCTCGCAGCCTGTGATAACCAGCAGGATGGAGGCCGCCATGCACACACTGAACATCCAGCAGCTTTGCCTGGCTCACCCGGCCACCGAGGGAGTAATCAGGGAAAAGGAAAGAGAAACCCCCAATCACCCCCAAACCATGTTCTGAAAAGCAGGCTGCCCTCTGGCTGGGTCACTCTCCAAAGTTGAACATCTCAGCTTCCTTCTCCTTCCAGAAGGCAAAGCTCCGGTCGATGTAGCCGCAGATGTCCTCGCTGTTGAAGCTGCCCCGCTGGGAGCGGGTCCCCAGCCGCTGTAATGTGGGCTTGGGGCCGCTGCAGGGGACAGCAGCGTGCGGCAGGGGCCCAAGCGGTGTCAGTCCTGACTTTCGGCCAGGCTCCGAGTCCCAGGCGGGACCCTGGCTTGAGCCAAAGAAGCGGGCTTTGATGTCCTCGAAGCCATCAGTCCAGGCCCGACGGCCAGTGGCCACCTCATCGGTCACGGCCTTGTGGAAGGTGCGCACAGCCTCCCAGCCATGGGTGCCCAGGTGCTCGAAGACTTCGAAGCAGAGCAGGTGGCGCGCCTTGCGCTCCTCAGCTGGCAGGTCGCACTCCAGGAGCTGGAAGTAGCCCAGCATGAAGAGGTCCAGTGAGAGGCTGCTGTAGGGCACGGGAGCCCCATCCACGTGGGGCAGGAACTGCTCGGGGGACAGGGCCCCACGGGGCCGCCGGCTCAGCCGCCGCAGCTGCCGGGTGGGCACGTGAGCCATGATGGCCTTCCAGTTGCCCAGCAGGTGGGTGATGGTGCTGCGCTGCTGCCACAGGTGGCCCAGCCGGGGGCCCTGGCTGGGCGTAGAGGGTGGCCCAGGGCTCCTGGTGGCCTCCCGGCCCTGAGAGCCTGTGTGGCGGGCTTCTAGGGTCCTGCAGGCCACGGTCTTGAGGGCCGGCGTGTAGGCCGACCTCCTCCAGTGGCTGAGGAAGAGCATGACGATGCGTTCCTTGCGCAGGCTGGCCGGGTCCTGGCCGGCCGCGGCACCCACCTCCGATGGCACCTCCTCGCAGCTGATGCCGGAGTCGCTGGCCTCCTCTGTGTCACCAGGCCTGGGCTGCCCCAAAGCTGGGACACTGCGGGGCTTAGGCAGGGCTTTCCAGCAGCCACTCAGGCACTGCCTGGGCTGGGCTCCCGGCTCACAGGGGCCAGGGTTGAAGCCACAGAGCGGGCTGGAGGCCGACTCGAAGTTGCCCCGCAGCGTCCGCACAGACACCCCCCACTCCTGGATCTGTCGCTGGGCCTCGCTCCAAGAGGGGCTGGCCGAGGCCTCCCCGCAGGTGTCCCTCAGTGGCAGGGTGGCTGGCTTCTCATCCCCCTGCACTAGCCCGTGCACTCCCTTCAACAGCAGGGACAGGCTTCGCACCAGGCGGGAGATGTGGCTGCACCAGAAGGGCAAGGGCTGCCCCCCGGGGGCCACCTCTGAGGCCTCCGCAGAGCACGTGGACTCAGCCGATAGGTTGGGGGCCTCCTCAGCCTCCAGTCCGGGCGCCCGGGGCAGGAAGTGGCTGTTGACCGTGATGCTGACCAGGGGCTCCGGCAGCAGGGCCTGCAGCTCAGCCGCCAGCCGGCCCAGCTCACTCTCATACTCCTGACAGCGGCGCCGAAGCTGCAGGTCCGCGATCTGCTTCTCCAGGTAGACCAGGTCGTCCTCGGTCAGTAGCTCCCCAAAGGGGCCCAGGATGGCCTGGTGGGTCTGTGAGTACCTCCAGGACGCTTGCTCCACAGGGCGGGAGCTGCCACCGTCATCCTGGGCACAGGAAGGGCAGGGTGAGCAGGGCCAGGGCTGCTGGACACCAGTTCCCGGGGTGGCCAGCCCGGTCCAGACCTGGAGGCTCAGGAAGGGCGGGTTCGTCTCAAAGGGTGGAGGTGCGCCTGCCCTGCCTCCTCCGCACTTCCTAACCTGCCCACATCTGCTCCAGGTTCCATGGTCAGGGCCCCCCCTGCCCCTTCCGGCCAAATGTGGAGCTTTCTGTGTTTGGACAGCTGCCCTGGGGGAAGGCAGCTCAGCCACTCTACTCTGCACCCCTGCCACCCCATCCACCCCTGCCGCCCAATAAGCATCTGCTGTCCCACGCTGTGTCCACCCCCAGGGCCCAACAGGGACTCCCAGCCTTTGCCAGGCTGTGCCCAAGCCCATATCTTGAGCCCCTTAGCCTGCCCACCCACCATCAGCCCCCCCCCCCCCCCCCCGCCCCCCCCCCCCCCATCAGTCCACCCCACCTGCCATCAGCCCACTCACCCATCATCAGTCTCCCCCCGCCCGCCATCAGTCCAGCCACCCGCCATCAGCCTGCCTACCTGCCAGCAGCCTGCCCAGCCTCCAAGTCCCTGAGTTCTCAGCATCTCTGCAGAGCCTCTGGTCTTGCCCCAAGATAAGACTTCAAGGGGCTTCCCAGCTAGGGCAGACCCTTCGACCTGCTCAGCTCCAGTCTTGCTCTGCTCTGAACCCTGCAGCCCTCAGGCCCTGTGGCTCCCAGCCCAACAAGCAAGGACAGGCTGGGCCCTCAGACAGGGCTGTCCCACAGTCCTGCGACAATGGAGACAGGCTGGTATTCCAGCAGCCAGGAGCCACCTGTGGCTATAGAAACGACAGGCGACGGAGGGGCAGGACTTTTCCTTTCCTTACATTTTAATTAATGTAAATGGCCGCCTGTGGCTACATGACTGCTGGACAGCGTGGCGCTAGACCAAGGGGTGCAGAGCTCACTGTCCTGACAAACTGTAGGCCTCTGAGGGTCCAGTTCCTGCACTGTCCTCACAGCAGCCAGCGAGCCTGTTAAATCCAAACCGCAGCCCTTCTCTGCTCAGATTCTCTGTGGCTCCTCGCAGCCTCACAGAGGTGCAGTCATACCAGCCAGCCTCCTCTCCAACCTCAGCCACCCACTCCTCGCCCGGGTGCCCCCTCCTGCCCCTCCCTAGGTCAGCCAGGCCTCAGGACGTCACACTGGCTGTTCCCTCTGCCTAGGTGGTGCTTGCCTCAAATTCCCACAGGGCTCTTCCTCTCTTTCTTCTGGCCCCTGCTCAAGGCTACGTCCCCGGAGGGGCCCCCTAAGCACCCATATATCATAGCCCCCCAAATGCTTTGCTTTCTCCACAGCAGTGGGAATCGCCCACACACCTGCCAGCATCTGCCCATGAACCACCATCTTCCCTGCTAGACGCTGCGCCCGGGAGGGCAGGGCGTGCCCTTCACTGCCTAGAACTGCACTTGGCACAGGCAGGCATGTGCCACAAATCCGCCAAGTGGCCAAGTGGAAGGCTATGTGGGACCGATGCCTCCAGAGCAGGGGAGGGGGCTCTGCTCAGAGTCCTCTGGTCTGGTTCACTTCATCCTCTGGTGGAAGCAACAGCCAAGGCCACAGAGGAGAGGGGCCCCTGGGTCTTGGATTCAGGTCTGGGCTCTGGGCACCCTGACTTCCACTTTCACTGTCTGGAAAAGGCCTCGCCCCACCCCACCCCTTCCCAGGGCCTACCTGGGCCTCCGCAGCGCTCTCTGCGCCCAGGCGCGCCTGCAGCTTCCGCACCATTACCTGCCGCTTCCACTCGGGGATGGGCCGGCCGCGCTCATCCCGCGTGGGCACCAGCCCGTCGATGTCGCCTGAGGGCAGCCCCTCCAGTTGCAGTGAGGCCAGGCCATCTGGGGCATCCCCCGTCAGCACCGTCTCTGTCCCCTGTGCAGACGGGGGTGGGTCACACAGGCCTGGAGAGGACCCAGACCCTGAGTGGTGGGAAGATCTGAGAGGGTGTGGAGGGCTGGCTCAGCCCAGGGCACGCTAAGGGCACTCTCAGAGGAGGGACAGTGGGGGCCATGGACAGCTCCCCACCTCCTCATCTCCAGCTTAAGAGTGAGGCCTCCAAGGGGAGGGACCCGAGGTGGGGGCAGGGGCAGGGTGTGTGTAAGGGGATTGTTGGCAGAGAAATGAAACCAGAGACCCCTCCCCGCCTCCGATACAAGGCCAGCAGATGCTGCGCGTCCCTGGGCAAACTTGCTCTGGGCACAGCTACATGGACAAAGTCTGGCAGCCAGTCCTGTGGTGCAGCACTTGTCAGAGGCTTCAGTGTGCTGGGCACACGCCAGCTCTCCAGGAGGGACAGTGCCACGTGGCACTGCCCGGACTCCCACCGAACATCTGTGGTTGAGAATCCGCAGGAGTCCCTCAGGGAAAGGCTGAGCTGGGTTTCTAAGGGCCTGGTGCCCAGGAAAGGGTGGGGAGGGGGAGCAGGACCCTTCCGTTGGTCCAGGATGGCCGAAGCCTTGAGGAGGAGGACAGTGGCAGTGTGCCCCTGCCCGTGGATGGCTGCCGCGATCTCCGCACTCCAAGTGGGCACAAAGCACCCCTGAGCTCAGAGGTCGGGGAGAGGGGCTTGGGCCACTGCAGCCCTCTGGGATGACAGAAAAGGGTCCCCGCGTTTCTGTGGTGGGGGGACAGCTGCCATCGCCCTGACTCTCCCACCTCCTCAGAACTCAGGGTGTGGCTGAAAGCAGGGGAGTAACACAGGCAGCCTGGTGTCCACCCTTCAGGGAAAGGCCTGGCTGTGCTGGGGGGCTTCCCTGGGCCCCCCAAGAGGATGGGGATGGAGGCTGGCTGGGGGCCCTGGGAGACAGGGATGCAGGGGTGGGGGACGCACCGCGGGGTGGCTCCTGGCATTGGTGGTGATCCTCGGAGGGGCTGGGCTGCTCATCTGCTCTCTGGGAAGAGGCTGGTCAGGATGGCCAGGCCAGGCAGGGTGGAGGGACACAGCTGCCGAGAAGAAGGGGGAGTTGCAGAAAGGACAAGGGCTGGGGAGCAGAGACGCAGAGCCCCAGGGATCCAGGCCTGGGGGCAGAACCAGCCTCCTGAACCAGCTGAGACTCCAGCCTACCCTGCATCAGAAGGCCTCGGGGGCTTCACTGGAGTCACTGGGGCCAGTCCAAGCCTGGTAGATGGGAGAGTCTGAGGCACACCCGTGGGCCATCTCACAGCCCCTCATGCAGCAGGAGAAGAGCTGGGAAGGGCTTGAGGCCTGGAGGTCACAGGCTGCTAACGCAGCTCTGCAGTCCCCAGGGCTGCCCACAATGCTCCCTGCCCTGATGCAAACACACACTTCAGTGTCAACCTTGAGTGAAGAGCACATCTGCATCACAGCCAGGAAGACACACACCAACACAATCACACACACATACACACACAGTCACAAACACAATCACATACACACAGACACAATCACATATACACAGTCCCATACAGACACAATCACACATACACAGACACAATCGCACACAGACACAATCACACAATCACACACAGGCATAATCACACAGACACAGTCACAATCACACAGATACAATCAGAGAGACAATCACAGAAACATACGCAGAACAGACACAAACACAATCACACACAGATACACAGATATTACACACATACAGACACAATCACACACACAGACACCATACAGATTCACAAACACAATCACAAACACAGTCACACACAAACACAATCACACACACACAGACACAATCACATATACACAGTCCCACACAGACACAATCACATACATACATACACATACACAGAATCACACACACACAGTCCCACACAGACGCAATCACACACAGTCACAAACACAATCACACACACAGTCCCAGACACAATCACACATACACAGACACAATCGCACACAGACACACACAATCACACACAGGCACAATCACACAGACACAGTCACAATCACACAGATACAATCACAAACACAGACACAATCACAGAAACATACACAGAACAAACACAATCACACACAGATACACAGATATAACACACATACAGACACAGTCACACACACATACAGAAACCATACACAGACACATACACACAGACCCAATAACATATACACAATCACACACACAGACCCAATCACACACAGATACATGCAGACAAATAATGGACACACAGACACAATCATATACACATAAACAATCACACACAGATACAGTCACACAGAAACACAGAACACAGACACAAACACAATCACTAACACAGACACAATTACAGACACAATCACACACACACAATCACACAGAAACATAGACACAGAACAGATACACATACTCCCGCATGTGCATACGGCCGCGGCGGGGCCTGTGTTGGAAGCTCGCCCTCACTACCTGTGGCACCTGCTGATGTTTTTGTGCTGCTCCATTCCGATCAATGCTGGTCACAGTCCCCTAATGGTGGTGACCTGCAGTGTGAGGACCGTCCCCTGCCCTACTAGCCTGTGCATGCAAGGCATGCTGGGATCTTGGGACAGCAGCCCATCCGCAAGGGGCCTGGGCCCAACCAGCCGGTCTCCCCACCTTCAGCCCTGGACAAGTTGCTGTGACTCTAAGTGCCCACCATGGAAAATGCTAATCCTCACCTTTACAAAGCAACAGACAGTTAAGGAAACCCAGAAGCAACTGGGAAGGGGGGGTGACCTGGTGCCCGGCTGCCTGCAGACTTCTGCATGGATCCAGGACCCCAGAGTGGGGGCCAGTGGCACCCACTCCCAGGCCCCTGCCCCGGCCGCCCACCTGGGGCTGTGCATTCACGGGTGGGGTGTCCAGGCCCCAGGCCTCCTCTTCTTCCATCCTCCAGGGAGTGCGTGGCCAACAGTGGAGGTGGGGGGAATGGCGGCGGTGGTGGCGTCATCAGCAGGGGCACCTGTGAGTGGATGGACTTGGTTAGTAGGGGGCCCCTGTGGGCTCTTCCCTGCTCACCTAGACAGGGGCAGGGGCACCCAGTGGGCGAGCCTTGGGGAGCCTGCTCATCTGAGAAGGGTTGGGACAGGTTAGGAGGTAGCAGGAGAGGGTCAGGTCCTCGATCAAGGTTCTGTCCCAGGGTCATCTCCTGCCTGAGTGCCATCACTTACTGGCACCCCACCTTGGTTCCCCACCTGCTGCCACCTCTATTGGGTGGGCCACCCCCATCTCCAAGCTCAGCTTCCAGGCTCCCTCTGGAGGCAGCTGAGTTCTGGGGCTCTGGGCACTGGGTAACGAGCTGGTTTCCAGCTATGCCCTGTGGACTCACAAAGATGCGTGCACATGCATGCACACACACATGTATCCACTCTCCTTCCTGCACACACGTGCATGTCCACTCTCCTTCCTGCATACACACATGTCCTCTCCTGCACACACATGCGTTAACACTCCTGCAGTGTCCACTCTCCCTCCTGCACACACACGCATGCCCATTCTCCCTCCTGCACACATGCACGTCCTCTCCTGCACACACATGCGTCAACACTCCTGCACAGTGTCCACTCTCCCTCCTGCACACACACGCATGCCCACTCTCCCTCCTGCACACATACACGTCCTCTCCTGCACACACGTGTTAACACTCCTGCACAGTGTCCACTCTCCCTCCTGCACACACACGCGTGCCCACTCTCCCTCCTGCACACACATGCGTTAACACTCCTGCACAGTGTCCACTCTCCCTCCTGCACACACACGTTAACACTCCCACACACGTGTCCACTGTCCTGCACACATACATATGTTAACACTCCTGCATACACGTGTTCCCACTCCTGCACACACACGTCCACTCTCCCTCCACACACGCATGTGTGTTCACCCTCCTGCAGACATGTGTCCACACTCCTGCGCACAAGTGTTCACACACCTGTACACACTCCTGCACACACGAGTGTCCACTCTCCCTCCTGCACACACGCGTGTCCACTCTCCTGCACACCCCCTCCCTGACTCCTGTGCTGCGGTCTACCTGGAACTTCAGCCCTGACACAGGGCCCATCAGTGTTTTGGGGGTGGATGGCCCCGTGAGCGTCCTGGTGAGGAGAGGGGAGGGCAGTGGACTAGGATGAGGGTCCCCGATGTGCCCGTCAGCCAAGGGCATGGGCAGCCCTTGTCCCCAGCCAGCAGGGCTGCATGCCACAGTCCCTCTGGGCCCCTCCCCCACCCTGCCCTCCAATGGGCATTGGAAGCCAGATGTGGCTGTCAGGGCTCCCACATCAGTGCTAGTGAGAGTCCTGGGCAGAGCAGAGGACTCAAATCGGCCACAATTCCAGACTTGTGGCCTGGGCCCAGGGCCCGTCGTGCGAGTGGGAGGGACCCAGGCTGCAGCTTGCTCAAACGCACAGCTGTCTCTGCCTTCAAATTCGTTCCCCTTTCCGAGCACGGGGCCCCCATTTTCATGCTGCACTGGGGCTGCAGTGCGGTGAAGCCGGCCCTGCCTGAGTGAACCTTCGACCTCCCCAAGCCTCCCTTCCTCATGGATAAGGCCGCCTCCGGGCAAGGACGCTGGGTGGCCCCTCAGCCACCTGCCCTCCAGGACCCTCATCCCATGGGGCCACAGGGGAGGAAACGAAGCCCGAAAGCCCGTCTGCCCGGCCCCCACGCACCTCACTCCTTCCAGGAATCTGTGCCCACAGCCCAGGAACCCTGTGCACAGTCGGCTGGGGAGCAACTGCCCGGCCCCCAGCCCCGGAGGCCCTCAGAAGCGAACTGCAAAGCGCAGGGAACGCAGCCGTCCGAGGATGCCAGGGGCTGCTGAGGCTGCCGCCCCCAGGAGTGGGAGGAGCCACATTAATATTTGAAGGCCCAGGTGTCCGGTGGCCGGGCGGGCTTGGGCTGGGTGGCAGGATCCCTTACCACAGCACTGTTAACTCTCCATGGAGCAGGGGCCAGGGGAGGGGACGCTCGGGGAGATGGAAGGGGGACCTGAGATCCCTGGACCCCATGAGACAAGAGGCCACCCAGAGGAACCCCCACTCCCACCCACAGCACCCACTGTGCTCCCAGGGCACAGAAGGGGAAACTGAGGCTCAGAGAGGGCAAAGGGCTGCCGAAGAGCCGGGATGAGAGTTCACTGGAGATGTCAGTCTTTGCTCCCACCAGTGCCTTGAACCACTGCTTCCTTGGTCACAGAGGTTGGCCTCTGGGGAAAGACCAAGAACACACAGCCTGGCTCTTCCTTTCTGGGCTGCTTCTCAGGGCTGTGTGCAGGGAGCGACAGAGGGACCAGAAGCAGGCGTGCTCTCTGCTGAGGAACAGGGTGTTCCCCAGACTCAGCGGTCCTCAGTAGAGACACCAACCTATGCGGCATAGCTGCCATCGGGACCCAACTCGCACCACCTGGGCTCAGGGGCAACGGAATGCCACAAAACATGCCACGTGCTCCCTGCCATGCTGAAGAAGGTCCTCCGTCTCGGACCCAGGAGTCTGGTGTCTTCCTCCACATTCAAGACGTAGTGAGAGGCTGGCATCAAGCAGGGCAGAGTCAGACACCAGATCAGACACGGCCAGAAAAGCTGGACACAGTGGTGTCACCAAAGAGGAATGCTGAGCCCTGCCTGGAGTGGCCCCACACTGCCCCCTGCCCATCCAGGGACACAGCCAGGAGCGGGATGCTGCCTCTTGCCTCCTCCCTGCCCCTGGGAGCCCTCAGCCCCTGCCCTTAGATCGAATCTGCTGTCAATAGGGAGGGGTCTCCCCTGGCAGAGTAAGGGGGTTGGCTGGATGGCAGCGGCTCCTTATGCTGGGGAAGACAAAAGAGGTGGAAGTTAGTCTGGGGCTCAGGGGACTATCGGACTCTGGCCCCAGCACAGGACCTGTGGCCTGGGGACCTTAGGCCACCCCTCGAGGTCCCCATGGCCCAGCCCTGCTCCATTCCTCACCAACAAGAAGCACTGGGACACCACTCCCTGAGCCTCCATTTCTTCACTGTAAATCAGATGAGGGATTATGGAGAGCACCTGGCAGGGGCCTGCGTGACGGTGGCATTCAGACCTTGACGCTGCTGCCACCGTTGGTATTAGGATGGTCTCTGAGTTTTAATAGGGAAGGCCCTGGCCACAATGGAGCCACCGGCGTTTGGAGGCACAAGTGTCAGGGTCCTGTCCCTTGGGGTCGTAACAGACGTACGCTGCCCCCGATCCTAGCGTTGGACATTTGCCCTGAGGTTAGTGGTCATGTGGCCCCATGGCCCAGCCTGCTGTCCCCGTCCCTGGTTTTTGGTGAGATTGGAGCCTGGAAGAGGCTTCATGCATTATACATGGAGAGCATCGTGCGAGCCAGGTCACAGGCCTGTAACGCCACCCGGCCGGAGAGAATCACGGCCCATGGATGGCTGCCGGACACCAGTTGCCATGGCTGAGATTCCGTTACTGGCCGGGTGGGTGCCACCCTTTCCAGGGGGAGGAGAGTGCCCAGAAAGCCTCTTACCTTCTCTGGGCCTCAGTTTCCCCATATCTAAAATAAAGACGTCTTAGTGCCTTTCTGGACCCCGACAGGAGGGAGCACATCTGTCCCAAGAGCCCATCAGAACAGGTACTTCACTGCGTGCTCGAGGAGCTTCTCCTTTACCCAAAAAACAAGGCTCTGGGCCAGGCGAGGTGGCTCACACCTGTAATCCCAGCACTTTGGGAGGCAGAGGTGGGAGGATCGCTTGAGCCCAGAAGTTCAAGACCAGCCTTGCCAACATGGCCAAAGCCCGTCTCTAAAAAAATACAAAAACTAGCCAGGCGTGGTGGTGCACACCTGCAGTCCCAGCTACTTGGGAGGCCAGGGTGGGAGGATCGCTTTAGCCTGGAAGGCTGAGGCTGCAGTGAGCTGAGATTGTGCCACTGCACTCCGGACTAAACAACAGAGAGAGAGAGACCCTGTTTTTCTTATGGGTGAGAATACTGGGGTTCAGAGATGCCCAGAACTTGCCAGTACCCCATGCCAAGAACACTGTGAGTGGGACAGCCCTGGACACTGTGGGGGATGCCGGAGGCTCCGCTCCCTAAGCATGGAGGGTTCTATGTGCCATCCCTGCCCAGACAGGGTGCTTAGGGCCCCACAGCCGGGAGCCCAGCTGCTTGGCCAGCAGAGTGGAAGGGGCCTTCCTTGAGGGCAGCCACCGCCCTTCCCTGGTCTTCAAGGTCCCAGCCCTCATTGTGCAGAGAGGGGTCCCCGAGGGGTCCCCAAGGCCCAGGGAGGGGCAAGGCTGGCCTTCCTGAGTGCCCTGAGCAGACTCTGAGCTGGGGGGCAGCAGCTGACAGCCTGCCCACTCTCGGAGGCCTGGAGGGGGACAGCTCCCATAGGGAGAGACGAACACCCCCTGCTGTCACCAGACCCTCCCAGAGGGAGAAGACAGAGACGGGCTCCAGTCCTCCGACCCTGAGCTCCCAAACATGACTTCCAGCAGCGACTGAATTCTAGTTCCTGAAACTGCTGCACCAGGACAAAAGCAGGGCAGAGCCGTGCTCTCTGGAGGCCACCCGAGCAGGCACCACAGACCTGACACGAAGCCGGCACCTCCACAGGTCAGGTCCCAGCACTGCTGTCCAGCCTTGCTCCCCCAGCTGCTGTTGCTCTTGGAATGCACAAGTCCCCTGGGGGCAGATAAAGGCTGTGCTGTCACGGGAAGATGATGGATTTCACCTCCTCTTCTGAGGCCAGCACAGGGCAGCCGGTGCACGCGGCCCCTGCGGATTGCGTTCCCATCAATATTGCAGCAGGCACATGGTCTCCCCCAGCCCGCAGCTGACAGCCTGCCCTCCCTCGGAGGCCTGGAGCGGGAACAGCTCCCATGGGGAAAGACAGGCACCCCCTGCTGTCTCCAGACCCTCCCAGAGGGAGAAGGCAGAACCAGGCTCCAGTCCCGACCCTGAGCTCCCAAACCAGCTCCTGAAGCTGCACACTGAGGAGCCCGGCAAGTCCCGGGGCTGGGTTTCTGTGCGATGGGCAGGGGGTACCCAGGTGTGGGCAGGAGGGGACTGTGGATAGGAAGGAGGTGGTGAGCCTGGTGCCACCTGTCCTCCATCACCATGGGGTCTGGGGATGGAAGGCGGAGGCACAGCTTGGACAGAAAGCCTACGCAGGGACCCCAGCATGGCTGGGGTGGGTACAGCATCAGGGGCTCCCGGGATGGGGGTGGGGCTGTTCCCTTGTGCCAGGGGCTTGTGGAGCCTGGAACACTGGCCCAACGGCTGCCTGCCCCGCCTCCTAATCTCAGCTGCCATTCAGACAGGAAGTGCAGGGAGGGGCCCAGAAAAGGCCAAGGCAGACCCAGCGGCCTTCAAGGAGCTGTGGGGAGACCCAGGCAGCTGCAGGCCATGGAGCCGCCGTCCTCTGCAGCGGAAGCCAGTGGAGTGCCACCACCTTCTCAAGCCAAGCCAGAAAGACAGACACCATTTAGAAAATACATAACTTCCAGCAGTGACTGCTGCTCCGGTACAAAACCAGGGCAGAGCCGTGCTCTCCGGAGGCCCCTGGAGCCGCCTGCACAGCACAGCAGGCCTGGTGTGGGTTTCCATTGGTGGGAACAGAGAACCTGCGGTGGCAAGTATCCGGCAGACCCTGGGGGCTGGGAAGGGAACTGGGTCTCTGCCTCAGTTGGTCCCGGATGCTCTGAGGGACGCATGAGAGAAGAGGAGGAACAGCAACCCCTTGGGGAGACCGGGATGGGTGGTGGAGGGTGATGTCACCTTCTGGGCCTCAGTGCCCTCACCCGAAAAGAAGGGCCAGGGGACTTCAGAGAACCTTCCTGAAGGGGTGTCCAATAAAAGTGAAGTGGCAGAAACTGAGGTAGGCTAGATGGATTTGTCTTAGTAACTGCCCTGGGCCTGGAATAAAGAGGGAAGCTCAGATGGGAGGGCATGGGGTGACTAGGATCCACTGTGGATGCCAAAGCGCCCTCTCTAACCTGCTACTCCATTCATTTCCCCATCCACAACCTCCATCCACCTCCTCCATCCACCTCCTCCATCCACCCTCCTCCATCTACCCTCCTCCATCC